GTGTGTATTTGGAGGTGTGAAGTTGTGCTCCCCAAATCACAGAGCTATGCAAATGATCGACAAATCAATTATATTTGAGAAAAGAAAAAAGAGCAGCATGTCCCAAGGAGGGGTCCCCCTCAGCTGATCCCCGCTCTCCTGCAGTGTGGGGGAACAGTCTGGACTGTGAGGCTCAGCTTGGCCTTAATGTTACCCCCGGGTGGTACCTAATCCTCCCTCCTCCTCTTCAGGACTATGCTTTTCCTACATTTTTTTTTCCTTTCTTTGCCAGATACCTCAGCAGAGGCAGTTTCCTTTGGCTGGGGTTGGTTCTCCTGCAAACCCCGTGACTGATTGACGATGAGGGCAAAGCATAAGGAACAGTCATCTCCTCAGGCCCAAGTGGCTGTGGCTTAGTGGTTGCATTTGGTTTCACAATTAAAGCAGCACCAGCAGCAGACGGGCCCTGGCCCCGCCAGCTCACAGACCCTCTTGTTAGGCTTCGGAATTACTCGTCGCCCCGGCTCAGAGAAGGGAAACCAGGAGGTTCAGGTTATCTGGCTGCCCAGCTCATGGGTGTTGGGTGTAGGCTTCCAGCCAGTCTCTCATTATCAGCCTCTCTCATCATCACACACCTCCCCTCCACCCCAGGGGTGGCCAGAGAGCACACATCGCAGCACCTGCTGCAGGCCCCATTATTGGGGCTCACCAGGGCTCACAGCTATAAGTCTGAACTTGATTAAATACATGCAACCTGTCGCCATCACCCCCATTTTACAGATGGAGCAGTAGACGCCCCACCCCCACTGTCTCACTGCACTGCATGGAAGTTGCTGAAGTGACCTAAATAAGCAGGTGCTGTCCCAGAGAGAACGGAGGAGGCTGGTTATTGGCTTTGAGACCCAGAGCTTTAGCTCATCTGGATTATTACCTGTCTTTAGTCAGCATTTTACAACCTGTTTAGACTCCCAATCTGACAGGTTATATCAAGGACTCCTCGCTCCTCCCACAGACCCAATCCTCCAGATCCACCATCCACCAGGACCATCAAAAGACCAGGCCTCCAGATCAAAGGCACAGCTCCCCAATTCAAGAATTTCAAGTATTGTAGCAGAAAAGCTGTGGGGAATATGCTGGAGAATATTTATCATGAGACTGGGCTCCCTGACCATGTCTGGTCAATGTTTCTGGAAGCCAATCGACTGAGTCGAAAGTGAAGTAAAACATTAATTCACAATCACAAGTTCAGCATCTGCAAGCCAAATGGATGGGGTTATGGCCAGAGGCCCAAAACAGAGCGTGTCTATACAGTATCTATAGAAGTCTATTATATAGTAGGTCTTCTTTACACAATTATAGTTAATAATATCCTATCTTATTGTTAATCACTTATTCAAATGCTACATCCATTCCCACCAATCTATGTTCCGAATCTGAAGTTTTCCCCCTGGTTCTGGAACTCAGGTCATCGAGAACCTCGCTTCTCAAGGCTGAAGCCCCATCTGCAAAGGAGAACTTCTGTTCTCCTGAATTCAGGTTCTACCCAGTGACACACCGCTGTGTCCTTCGATATTGTATTACTTGTACAAAGTGATAGGAAAAAGAGAGTGTAGTTAACAGAAGCTAAAATTTTTACACAATAACATTCATTCCGACCTCAAACACAAAAACAAAGTTACTACATTCTTTTTCTCAGGAATGTCAAAGTTTCAGCAAAATGAATCTGCCATCATCATTCAAAAATGGACGTGTTTTCAGAGACTTAAGTAAATATTTTCTTCAGCACTATGTTATGTTGATGACCCTGCTGCGGAGAAACGTTTAAAATAGCAACAAACACCAGGAAGAGAAAAGGAACCTCCCATTCATTGATTTGAATATGTTTTAAATTATAGGATAAAATCACCCACTCCTGACCTCTGCCAAAACGATTAAGTAGATCCAGATGTCACCGATATGAAGCCAAGTGTTTAGATCACATTTTAGAAACAATCGTTATTTAATCCTGCAAGAAAAAAATCCTGATACATGGGGCTATGGACCAGGTGGTCCAAAGTATCAAGGAGAGCAGGGCGGGATGCCAGCTTTCAAAAGAAGGCAGAGAAACAAATGCCATGAGCTGCCTGAATGTGCAGTGATGGTCCCTCCAAACGGAATGTTTTTGACCCATGGAGGCAGATTCTCCCAGTGGTCACCCTTTCCCTGCCATACAGGTTTTGGGTAACAACCTCCAACTTTCTGTGGTAGAGGAACACATTTCTACAAAAGCACACAGCACTGACTTTCAGTTTTTGTTCATGGAGTCCCTAACCCGGTTCCAAACTCATACTCAAACAAGTCCCTCTTTAAAACATGTGGGGCTCCCGGCCCCTGTCATTTGGATCTTTCTCCAAGATGGAGGCCATCTGTCTGCAGCATCTGCTGTCAAGTCCATTGCCAAAGCCTGTTTGGACCATCTAGCTGGTTCCTTCTCTCTGGGATGTGACTGATTCCTTATCCCTGTGAGTCCATGTAGATGTCCATGGACTAAAGTAATGGGGCCATTTCTCCCAATCAGAAAACACGCCATTTGACAGGTATGATGAAGCGTGAGCGTACAGTGGAGCACACTGTTGGGACTGGTGGAGAAGGGGTGCAGGTGGGTGGCGTCAGCCTGGAGCACGCAGGCGTGACATTCAACACAACAGTCCCAGGATTGTGACCTCCAGTGGCTATTACCTTTGAAGGATGCTTGAGAATTTAAGAGGCATTTGTAATTTGCAAAACTTTTAAAATTGTGTTTCTTTTTAATATTAAAATTGTTACAGCACTCATGCTTTAAAAAAAAAAATCTATGTATAAATGTGCATAGAGTGAGTCTTCCTGGATGGAGTCACCATCTCCTTGGCCAGTCTCATCAAACTCCTCCCGAAACACAATTGCTGGCCCCCTTCTCAGTAAGGGCTAACTTGCAGTCCATGCCCTTTGCTATCAACTGAACAGGGGTGCTGGAGCTTTAGGGGTTGCTCTGGGGGGGAGAAAGAGTGGGCAGCACCTTGTCCTGAGGGCTGCTGGCCTCCGGCCTGACCCATGGGCAAATGACCCCACAGTCAAGTTTCCCCTGGGCCACAGTGTCCGGCCTCACCTCTAAAAAGGCAAGGAGGGAGCAGAGGAAAAGAATGCCCCAGTCAACGAGCAGGACAAAAGCAATTTGTCAAGGCTGGGGGTCCAGATAAGAGGGCTCCAGGGAAACAAAAGTCAGAGTCTGTTTTGTTTCTGCCATGAAGCAATTAGTGTCCAGAGTAACATTGATCACCGTGAATGCTCGGCGATGTTCTGAAAGAGATGATTCCCAGCAAACCCGAACGTGGAAGTGCTTCCAGAATAGTTTGCTTCAGATACATTCTTTTTTTTATATTTAACTCTTGGTAACTTCTAAGGTTCAACTGCATTGACCACCTTACCGTCATCTCATTAACTAGCAGTATTAAGGCAGGAGTTGCATGAGATTGAATCAGAACTCAAGAAAAAAAAAAAAAAAACCATCTGACCTCTGAACTTGAGATGCAAAGAAAATAAAAATGCTTCCTCACTGTCCCCTCCCGAAGTGGCAGCAATAATCACCTCCCGGACACGCTAGCCCTTCCCAGAGCTGGCCTCCCGGGTGCAGGATTAGCTATAAACCTTCCTGGCTAGTGGGACGTGGGAAAATGAACTCTCTGAAAGATGGAGGCCGTTATTTTGCTCCTTGGGAAATGAAGAATGAGATCTGTGGGAAGAGCGAGAGTAGCCTCAGAGTTCAGTTCCCACAATCGAGAAATATTTTCTTCATCTGCAGAAGCCAAGACCTCAGTTAGTTTAGTATGACCAGGCCTGCGGGTCCCGTGAGTGAGCCGGTCTCTGGGCTGCCGTGGCCGGTGACGGGCAAACCCACCCACACACACTCACCGTCACGCGTGGCCCGTCACCCAGTTCCAAACTGAGGGGCACATGGATTCTGAGCTGTTTCAGAAATACACGTTTCCATCTTAGCAACCCAGATCCTCAGCCAAAGAGAACATGCATTTGTGACTTCAAGCAGATGGAGACACCCCCAGCTCACCCGCCTACTGATGTCGCCTCGTTGGGAGGACGAGCAGTGAGGCAGGAGCTCTAACTGTCGCCGCCATCCGTTGAAGGGACCCCAAAGCTGAGCACACAAGGCCAAAGCAAATTATCTTTGCAAGCTTTTGTCCTTCAGTCAGGGGAGATGGAACCCGAGGGGTCCGGCCCTGGATTCCTCCTCCCTCTCCACCTGTCTGCCTTGTGATCGTCGCCGCGGCGTCCAGGCTCCGGTGCGTGGAGAAGGTGACCAACCGTGCTTGCCAGGACAGGGAAGGCCAGGCTGCCCCTGGCTTCCTCATCTGATGAGGAAGAATGAATCTGAGGCGTCCTCATTTTAGAACGTTAGTAACAGCCAGTCACCTGTTCAGTCGGGAGAAACCACGGAGGGTGAGTGCCAGGCGCGCGGGGCCCTGGGACAGTCAGTCACGTGTCCCCCAAGTCCGCAAGTCACCGACGTTGTCCTTTTGGGGGCAGAGCTGACCGCGACATTGCGTTGGTCTCAGGCGCACGGCACCATGATTTGCGGTTGGTGCATTTTGTGAAACGATCTCCAGGCCAGGCTAGTTAACACCCATCATCCCACACATCTAAGCACTCGTCTGTCTTGGAATGAGAATGTTTAATCCTTAAACTTTTTTTTTTTTTTTTGAGATAGTTGTACATTCACGTGCAGTGTAAGAAACGGGACCCCATGAGTCCTGTGCCGCTTCCCGGGGACACCTGGCGGTGACACCTCCCGATGACAACGTCACGCCAGGGTATTGAAGCTGGTGGACTCCCCCGGCGTGTGCTGTGTTTTTTGGAATCAACGTGAGCCTTTGGAAAAAGTCGCCCATCCATGGGGAAGAAAGACGTCGGTCTGGACAGTCTTTTGATGACGTTTTGTGACGTGTGACCCGAGCGCTTCGTCTGGCTGAGGGAGAGATGGCAGCCGGCGCTCACTGAACCACCCGGCCCTGGAGGGGGTCCGGGTTCTCTCTGAGACAGCGCTTCGTGCGGAGAAGGAACACCTTCGCGCTCCGTCTGAGCTTAGGATTTCCTAGAATCAAGATGACGGAATGCCCCGAGGGGTAGCCACCGCTCACCAACATGCAGAGGTGGAAGGCGAGAGTTCTGAACTGGAACTTCTGAGAAGAAAACAAGGTGGCGGCCGTGTAGTAGGAGAGGTAGAGGAGCAGGAAGCACAGCATGGACAGCAGCACGCTGAGGTGGAGGCGCGAGCTCGAATCCCGGGTGCCCATCGCCGTGTTTCTCATCTGCCAGGTGTGTCTCCCCAGAGAGTACATCAAGAGCAGCATGGAGGCCAGGAAGATGGCGAAGGGCAGTGACAGCCCGATGACGATGAAGGTCATGTGCAGAGCAGGGATTTCTCTGATTTGAATAGTGGTCAAGTTTTGGGGGGAAAGGTCCAGCAAGACTCTGTCAAAAATGACCCATGTGTATTTGCTGTGGAAAACGGCATTGCTGGACACGAAGAGCAGGGACCCCAGGACCAGCCATGGCACCAACCGGGAGATCCTCGCCTTCAGCCAGAGGAAGAGGGGGTGCGTGATGGTGGCGATCTTGGTGCAGTAGAAGACGCTGAGCCATGTGGCAAGCCAGACCCCCAAATCACTGACAACCATGATAACCGCAAAATTCTTGGGAAACAAGTGCACCTCAACCACGGACAGGAAGGCCAGGGTAAGGAAGAAGATGACCGGCTGCAAACAGATCCTGGAAACGGCCAGACAGGCCAGAAGGAGCGCCAGGGGGTCCATCCTCCGCTGCTTGATCAGGCTGGTGCCATTCACCGCCAGGATGAGGCCGTTCGCTAGAACCCCGACAAGGAGCTGGGCGGCTGCAATGAGCAGGTGGACGAGGAGCAGAAAATCTAGCATCGTGAGAAGGGAAAAAAATCCCTTCCTTGAAAATATTCTATCGTTCCGGATTTTTGGACAGTTTGGATTATTTTCATTTTCAATTTTTCTTGAACTAGATCAGGCCCCCCGGGGCATGGCTGGCAGGAAAGGCAGAGAGGCAGCGGCCGAGCCTTCTATGCCTGTGTTTCTCGGCTTCGGTCTGAGGCAGTCAAATAAGAAAGGGATATGCTGGGGACAATTTGCTTCTTAGTGACGGCGTTTGCATTCTCCAGGGCTGCTTAGCTTCCCATGTCATCCAGGCAAATGGTGGAATCGGACACCTTCAGGGCTTAGAGAAGAGTTTCTCCCACTCCGCAGTCAGCAGGAAGCCTCACGCCTCACCTCCAGCAAGAATGACTTCTGCCTGCGTGTGACTACTCAGCGTGGTGGGGTGTTCTGGGGACAGGTCCTTTGCGGTGGGATGATGGGGCGCGGTCTGCAGGGCAAGACTCCTCAGGGCTGGTCCTCAACACACGAAGGTTGAGTGTTTTGAAACCTAGAATTTGAGCTTGTTATGTAGTGAAGTATGTGCACTAAGATACAGAACACCCCAAAATACAAAAGCAAAGTTGCGAGACGTAAGTGTGTTTTTGTACAAGCAGATACTAGAAAATAGACCCTGATTCAGGCTTGAGCTTCAGGATAAGCCTTGTTCTCCCTTGAGTAGAAACAAAGATTCTGCAGATTAGGAAAAAGTGCATCCACCAGGACTTCAGGGAGCCAAGAGCCCTCCGAGGGGCGTGCCCACCGCATTCAGGGCTCTCCCTGGGCACCCTCAGCTGGAGCCGTCAGTCTGGCACAGACTCCAAGCTGGGAGGGCACCGCTCACTGTCGTGGTGCTGGCACCAGATACGGGGTCTCTCTGAAGTAGAAACAAAGTCTGTACCAGAAGCGTTTTCACAACAAAGGGTAAGAGATAAAAGTGACCAAGTCACTGCGAAAGAGCTTTTGATTTCCAGCTCTTCCGAGAGACACGGGTCTGCCTGTTCGCCATCGTCTGCATGGGCAGAGCCTGTCGGCCTGGCTCTAGATGCCCCAATGTTGTAAGATAGTAATGCCAATATATGGGCACAAAGTGGGGAAATCCTGCACCCTGGGGCTGGGACAGCAACGCATCTCTCAGCTCCGATGGCAAACTAGGGCTAGGTGAACCGGGCTGGAGACCGCGGCAGGCGCAGCCCCACGGCGACGTGCTGTCTGTTTGGATTCAGGCGTCCAGAGAGGACATTTGGCTCTCAAATCTCCTGTGATGACTTTCATTAGAACTAGCCTGGGGCGCAGAGCAATTCTTCCACGGGCACTCTCTTCATGTTGAACAGTCCTGCCCACCCAAGAATCCCATCGAGTGAAAAATAAAAATTCATGAGGCTTCACCCACATTTTTCCCATTCGGTAATTTCCATCCCCAGGCCCTTCAGCGAGCCGAGCGCACACAAAGGCTGCAGCCGGCAGGCCGCTCCTGGACAGGGCTGCCCCTCCCGGAGACGTGGGCTTCTTGGGGCAGGGTGGAGGGATCAGAGCGCCCGTCTTGGCCCCCAGCATTTGTGCAGCTGCTGGAGGAAGCCCGCCCACCCTGAGGCAGCTGCATTTCGGGCTGTGTGGCTGTGGCCACCCTTACGTACCACCCCATCAATCAAGAGGACCATGGGCTCGGGCAGGCTCCCCTACTCAGGACGCGGCTGCGGTCGGTATTTTAATGAGCAACACGACAAACCCACTGGGGAAAAATGGTCCCAAGGACAGACCTCCCCGAGTGGCCATTCAGCGCCTTGTTCCAGTGAGAAGGACCATCAGAGCCTTTCTGCCGCTGACACGGGAAACACACACGGCTGCCTCCCCTGTCAGTCATCGGGGGCACAGTGACAGCGCTACCCGGACAAATGGCTGGGGACAGATGGAGCCGCCCCGACGTGGGGAAATTCACATGATTACCCCATATTACCCTGATTAAATCTGCTCCCTCGCACTCCTCAGTAATGAGCAATCATTAAAGGAGACAATACTAAATATTCCTGAGCAAACTGACAGGCGGAAAGAGTTGCTTATTTATATTCAAATCATTCGGCGCCTCCAGAGAAAGAGTGGTTTTCACACGCAGGGAGATTGACACGGGCGAGCTGCACACCAGGTAGAAGCTCGTGGCTGCTTTCCAGCCGCGCGGCCGCTGACTTCGAGACCAGGCTCTTCACAAACATGAGCGATCGTTTTAATGCCTCTCCCAAGTGGTCTCCCCACACCGTTATCAAGGGAACAATTCCTGCTTCGAGGAACTTGTGCATCTATTACCATGACTGTGTCTTTAATAGGATCATTCAAGTAAGAAAAAAATAGCCCCTCGGCCCACAAATGCCCACGTCCCCCCTGAATCTCCGCGGGAGCCCCCGCTCCGCCCTTGGGAAGCCGGTGAGGCTGATTCCATGTAAAATTCACGACCCTTTGGTTCAAAAGCTCCGGACTCTTTCAGACTAACCGTTCTTTAAATCTATTCATTGGGGTCTCTCCGGATGAATTTGCAGTTGGTCTTTGGGGCTAAGCGTTGCCTTTAATATTCCGGTCACTCCTCGATACTTACCCCTTCTCCTCCTCTGCTTATCCTCACGGTCTAGTTCTGGGCTTCCCTGCCTCCGGTCAGCATCTGAAATGGATTTGCACAGCAGTGAATACAATAAAGGGGCCATGGACGTGTCCACGCGGTCTCGCCAGGAGGAGCCCAGCGCGTGTTGCCGACCAAAATCCCTTGTTGGTTTCAAGAAGGGGGGAGGCCAGAGGTGGCCGCTTGCCCCGCGCGTGGCCTCTGGGCCCCAGGACGTTGCTTCAGCTCCAACCCGAGCTTCGAAATTCCAGACCCCTCCATCCTCTTCAGCACACTCATTGTGTGTTGTGGCCCCGGCACTGCTCGAAGTCTGGAGCTTACACTAATGAACAAGACAGACGGTCTCTGTCACCCTGGAAATTACATTTTAGTGGAGAAGATGAGAATTAAACACGTGAAAAAATACATGCTCCCAGGTCGAGCGGCGAGCAGCGCTGTCGGGGAGAGTGTGTCGGCGGGAAGGGACAGGCCTGAATGAGAACGAAGCGCCTCTGAACACCTCGGCAGTGAATTTTCCGAGCGGAGAGGGGAGAGCGCGGTGGCCCTTCATCCAACAAAGAATATTCCAGAGGAGCAAAGTGTCCAACGCCGCAGTGCCCGGGGCAGCTCCCAGGAGACGGGAAGAGAGGGCGAGCCCAGCCAGGACGGGCGGCCGCCCTGCACGTTTCGTGGGATCTGCCACAGTCAGATCGATGTTTTCAAAGACTCACCCTGGATGCGACAAAATAAAACTGAACAAACCCCCCAAAATGCTTTTACTCTGGAGAACAGGCTTGGGGTTGGGAAAGGCAGGAGCGGCCGCAGGGAGACAAGCGTGGAGGCTGTCGCAGGACACCAGCAAGGGACATGGGGGACTTAGGTGGGTGGACGTGGGCGGGAAAAAGTGGCTGGATTTGCAAGATATTTCTAAGATAGAGCTAACCGGGGTTTCAGATGACTTTGACAGTGGACAGGAGGAAAGTGAGGACTGAGGGCTTCTGCTGGGTCATGGGCCTGGCCCACGGGTGAGAGGCAGCGCCTTTTTTCAAGAGGAAGCTTGGTGGAAGCTGGATTCGCGGGCTCTGCGGTGAGATACTGGGTCTGAGATGCCTGCTCCAAGTACAGATGTTGTACGCAGTGGATGAGACACTTGGAGTTTCGGGAACCACTAGGGATGGAAGCACACATCTGGAATTTGCTACCAGATAAATGGTTTAAAGATTATGTAGGGAAGAGATTGCCAGCCAGAGTGTCTAGTCACTGAAAACAAAAACTGACCTTTGGGTGCATTCCCATGCCCTGGGCAGAGATCTCAGCACCCGCTGTGGACGCAGGGCGGGCAGAGCTCTGACTGGCTGAGCTAACGCTTGAGTCCCTGAAATCAACCGTCCCGGTCACGGTAGCCTAATCTCTTTATATATGGCTGATTCTATTTGCTCTTTCATTTAGAAATTTTGCTCCTTTATTCATAAGGAAGATTGGTCTGTAGATTTATTGGGTGCTATTTTTGATAAATTTGATTATCTGTGTTATGCTAGATTTATCAAAAAATTGTTATGCTTTTCTGATATCTTATGCAGTGGAACAATTTAAATAGAATGGGAAACAGCTATCTCTTCGGGGATGGACAGAGTTCCCTGTGAATCTGGGGCCGCAGGCTCTTGGGAAGAGGAAGAATACTCACCAACTATTTGGGGCTTAAAATACTAAACAATTAAACCTATATGATGTCATATACGGATGTTATGTCCATAAACTTTTTAAAATGCTAACCAATGAGTCAACAGTCTCAATTTGCCATTTTGACAACCCTATGAAATCAATATTATCTCCACTCTAGAGACTGTTAATTGAGGTGCACAAAGGAGTGGACGCTCCCCCCAGGCACACAGTTCAAGACTAGCCTCTCCGGGGTGGGGGTCACAACCTGACTTCCAATCCCACGTGTCTCAGCGTCACCGCCGCTTCCGTGTTAACACCCAGTGACGAGGCTCCTTCCCTTCCCTTCGGGGTTCAGGCATGGAGGCTGGGGAGCTGTTTTTGCTGTGCAGGTGCTCCTTGCTGTCTCCTATGAGGTTCCGTGGAGGAACCACCTCTCCTCCAGCCCTCGGAATCTGTCTTACTTTGAGCTGCCCTTATTTCAGGAATGGACACGAGACCAGACACGACAGTAAACACACCCACTCGCCCGACCTGAAACCCACCCAGGGACGAATTTGAGTCAAGTCAGAACTGAACCCAACTTTTGGCTGAGCGGGTGGTACACGGACCCTCTGCCAGAGATGGATGCTTGTCTGGACGCAGGCCGCCACCCTGCCACCAGGAGGAGGGGCCTGAACCCACCTAAGAAGGGACTTTATGTGGAGAACAGCAGGGCCCAGAAAGGGGAGATGAAGATCAGAGTCCA